GTACCCCAGTTCTGTATAAACTCCTAAATTCAGAACAGTGACTACCCCAAATGCTGGTAAACATGAGGAGCAACAGGAGACTATTGATGAGAATATGCATCTTGGAAGATAGTTTGATGGTTTCTTACAGAACAAAGCATACTCTTACATATGATACCATATGCTACGGGAATCACAGTCCTTGATATTTACTATAAGAACTAAAAACTTTTGCCCATACAACCCCCCCCACACACATATACACATTAGTGTTCACACATACAAATTAGTGTTTACAATAGATTTAGTTATAACTGCCAAATATGGAAGCAAAAAAAAAAAGTTTGTGGCTCACCCAAACAAGGAGTCAATAGCACTAAAAATAAGTGAGCTATCAAGCCAGTAAAAGAAATATAAGTACTTCAAGTACATATTACTAGTAAAAGGATGCACTTTATATGATTACAACTACCTAACATTCTAAAAAGGCAAAACTATGAAAATGGATTTAAAAAATCAACAGTTTTAGGGATAGGAAGGATGGAAGAATGAACAGGGGGTGCATGATGATTTTTAGGTAAGTGAAACTACTCTGTATCACAATAATAAGCACACATACCTCTCATTAAACATCTGTCAACCTCACATAATGTACCATACCAAGCGTGATATAATAACCAACTGTTAATTATAGATTTGGGGTGATAATGATGAGTCCATGTAGAGTTTAAAATGATAACAAATATACTATTCTTTACATGATGGGAGTGGAGGAAAATGTGCACCTTGAAGTAAACAATACTATGGGAAATTTCTGTACTTTCTGTTCAGTTTTTCTGTAAACCTAAAGCAGTTTTTTTAAATAAAGCCAAAGAAACTAATAGGTTTCCCTCATCATGTATATTCAAACACTCAAAGTATAGCTTAATTATCTTACCTTGCATTACTGAACAGGTCAATATACTTATTGAAATATTTTTCAACTTCTGAAAAGTACCCAACTGTAATTTGTTGTGATCTTTATCAACACATATAATAAATTTATTATTTCTAAGACTGACTATGAGTACAAGTCTAGTAACACAGTTAGCTCTATATTGAAGCAAGATACAAACTAGTTATAGCACATAGCAGAAACTCAATAAATGAATTTAATGAACTATTATGAAAAGTGTCTTAGACAGACATGATACGGGAAAACATAAATCACGTGCTTACTTACTCCATTTCCACTGCACTTTTTTGTACAATCCCTTTCTTGATATTCAATCCACCTTGCTTCCACACACTGAGTAGAAACACAAACCTAAAGAAAAATGCATACAAATTTTTCACGTCAGAAGAGTTCAGCTATTTTTTTTTAAGATTTATTTATTTGTGCATACAGAACTGGGGTACAAGCCAGAGGTTCAGGGGCAGTGAAAGGGTTCACCAGAGATAGAGTGGGGCACAGAACAGGCAGATCGACAAAGTACACGGCTGAGAGGAGCAGCGGGAGGGTCAGGAGAGGTCTGCCACGCTATGTGGTCACCTCCGGGGCAGGTGGGAATCGAACTCATTCAGAAGTGGCTTTAGCTTCTTAGTGCTGTGCTTTAACCCGCTGTGCCACCAGGAAGGGCCAGAGTTCAGCTATCTTAACATTACAATCAGTAATTTTACAACATAAAACCATAACCATTCAGGGAAAAATAAGGTTCCTTCTAAGTGCACTTTTGCCGCATCCCACAAATTTTTATTTTTGTTACATTTTCATGTATTTCTAAATATTTTTTCAATTTCTCTTGAGATTTATATCATGGTACACATTTTACATTTTATTTAAAAGTGTATGGGATAATCTCCAACTATTTTGTGATTTTCCAGATTATTCTAATGTAAACTGTGTACTTTGCTTGACAACACATCAATCTAGATTGCTCAGTTTTAACAGCTGTATCACTTTGTGGGGCTGCAGATAGTGTAGGAAGAAGTCTGTGACTGTGTAGGGGTAAAGAATATATGGGAACCCACTGTATTTTCTGCAAATGTTGAAGTGAACCTAAAACTGCTATGAAAATTAAAGTGAATTTTTTAAAAAAATTATTCAGGTTCCACCACTTTGTAAAACTGTTTGGAGGTTTCTCAAACTGCTAAACATGGAGCTTCCATATGACCCAGCAATCTCACTCCTAGGTATCTACCCAAAAGACACAAAAACACTGATTCAAAAAGACACCTGCACCCCCATGTTTATTGTGCTTTATTTACAATTGGAAAGACATGGGGACAACCCAAATGTCCAAAGTAGATGACTGGATTAAAAAAGATGTGTTACATATACACAATGGAATACTACTCAGCAACCAAAAAAATAAATGAACACATGCCTTTCGTAGCAACATGGATGGAGCTGGAAGGGATCATGCTTAGTGAAATAAGCCAGAAAGAAAAGGAAAAGTACTGGATATTTCCACTCATAGCAGGAGTATAAGAGACCCGGGGTGAAAATAATAATAATAATAATGAGCAACTATGTACCAGAGACATTTTACGGGGGTGGAATGGGGAATGGGATCAAAAATAGGGAGGGAGGGGAAGTGCACTGGACTATGGTGACGGCACATGGGTGAACTGGTGGTGGGAAGCCCATGGGGATTACAACTGAGATGGAAAAAGGCACAAAATGATGTGAAAATAAACTATTATACATTTTAAAAAATATTCGGGTTTCAAATATCTGACTCCGAATGTAAACAGCTTAGAAGTCGCCACCTCATCTCATTAACAAATGAAAAAAATGAATTGCACACTATAAAACAACAGTTCAAAAAACAATATGGCATTAGCATAAAAACAGATACATGGATCAATGGAATGGAATCAAAAGCCCAAAGATAAATCTACATACATATAAATGCTTAAATTTATGATAAAGCAGGCACAACATACAGTGCAGAGAGCCTCTTTAATAGTGGTGCTGGGCAGTCAAGGCCACAAGTAGAAGAATGGAGAGGACTCATTCTCTCAATGCACAGAAATAAATTCCAACAGGAATAAATCTAGATATAAGACAGCATAAGATATGTAAAAGAAAACATTTGTAATATGTTCCATGATGTAGTGATAAAGATTATTTTTAGAAGCTCAACTACTATGGCAAGGGAAATAAAAGCATAAATAAACATTAAGGATTATAGCAAATAAAAAAGGTTTTACTCAGTTAAAGAAAATGACAGTAGATCAAAAAACATCCTATTGAATAAGAGAGAATACTTATTTACACATTACATAACTGAGATAAAGGGTGAATATCCCATAACATAAAGGGTTAATATCCAAATTGTATTTAAAATGTATACAAATCAACAACAGAAAATAAACCCAATTAGTAAACAGACAAATCACCAGAGAGGGTATCTGGAAGGTAAACAGATACATGAAAAAACATTCAAAATCATCTCCAGCAAGACAGATACATGTGGTTTTGTTTGTTGTTATTGAGCTAATACTGGTTTACATCATTGTTTCCATAACAGAAATTTCTACCCCTACTTCAGACATTGCTGCCACAGCATATCCACAAGGAAAACTGGCAGCCCACCACCACAGAAAGTGTGCTCCCTTTCCATTTTGTTCTCACTCCTCCTCATTTCTCTCCCCTTCCATAATGAGATATCCTTTCACATTGGTGAGAATGGCACAACAAATGCTGGAAAGCATTCAGAGAGTCGGGCACAGTATTACATTTTTAACAAGAATATAAGCCAGTGCAATAATGATGAACTGTGATCTGGATTTGCCTTGAAAAACTAAATATTGGGCCCTCCCTGGTGTGCAACGGGTTAGGGCACAGTGCTGTACACAAGCTGCAGCCCTTCAGTGCAAGTTCAATCCCCAGCCCTGGGAGTGACCCATAAGCCACAGTAGACCTCTCCTGGCCCACCCATTCCTGCCCTCAGCAGTGTGCTTCAGAGATCTTCCTGTTCTGCTCCCCACTCTGGCTCTGGTGAATCCTCTCACCACCCCTGTACTCTGGCCTGTACCCCAGTTCTGTAAGCATAAATAAATCTTAAAAAGAAAAACTAAATATTGAAATATCACATGGTCAAGCAATCTCACCTATCCAAAGAATGCTAAATAATCAACTCAAAAATCTACCAGTGTTTATTGCACTGTATTGCTTACAGGACATGAGAGGAAATGTGAGCAACCTAAATAAATGCCCATGGATAGACATTTGGGTTAAGACTCAGATGTGGTATATTAACACTATGTATACTCTTCAGCTCTAAAGGAAAATGTGCCATTTACATTAAGATGGAAGAAATTCAAGGGAACTAATACAGTAAGGCAAGTCAACATGACAAATATTTACTGGACATTCACTTAAAGATTAGACAAATTTTAAAAAATTATTTATAAAAATTAATGGACTTGAATGAATGAGATAAGATTTATCTCAGTTAAAAGTAGAAAGAGGCAGTTTATGAGAAAGGGACATGAAGGATGGTGGTGGGGATAAAGGAAACAGAGAATTCATTTAAAATATAAAAGAATAACAAAAGGGATGCTTATGGTGATAGAACAGTTTTGCATTTTAACTGTAATGGTAGATCCATGTCTAAATATATATTCATGGGAATAAGTAAAATGAAGAAAAATGAGTAAAATCCATAGTCAGTGAATATGGTCTTTTACTTTAGTTCTAGAGGAAACTGGTAAATGCACCAGATCTCTGTATTATTTTTTATAACTGTATGTGAATCTACATATGATTTCAAAATAACAACTTCAATTTTGAAAGCAAAACTAATTAAATAGCTCACTGAAAAAGAAAACAGATTTTAAATTACTTACTCTTCCAGTATCGCAAACAGAGCCAGATCGTATTATCATTGGATCTTTCTGTGGATTAGACACTCTGTAGTCTGCAGTTATACAAACAGTATCTCGTAAATAAGCATAAATCACAGAAGTATTTTCTTTCTGGAAAGGAGTTCGAGTAGGGTAGGTACAAACTAATCTTCCACACATAAGATTCCTGCAAACATAATAAAATTATATGATTATTATACATCAGGCATTGTTTAGGAATGCACTAAATTTGCTCTCTTTGACCAACAAAGGATAATTCTCCAATTATGACAAAGTATCTAGGGAGTATATGCTTTAACACTAACATTGGCCGGGAATCAAACTCATGATGCAGTGACCAGGGAAGGCCCCTATTCTCTTATTTTTTTTATTAAAGATTCATTTATGTGGCCCTTCCTGGTGGCGCAGCGGGTTAAAGCACTGCACTAAGAAGCTAAAGCCACTTCCATATGAGTTCGATTCCCGCCTTTCCCGGAGGTGACCACATGGTGTGTCAGACCTCTCCTGACCCGCCCACTGCTCCCCTCAGCAGAGCACTTCATCATCTGCCTGTTCTGCTCCCCGCTCTGTCTCTGGTGAATCCTCTCACCTTCCGCATCTCTTGCCTGTACCCCAATTCTGTATGAATAAATAAATAAATCTTAAAAAAAAAAAAAAGATTCATTTATGCATACCCCTCAGAGGGACAGGGTGAAGATTTGTATACTGACTGTCAAATTACTCACTTAGGCATTTTATAGTGCTCTGTAAAGAGATAGAAAGATGAATGAGCTGTGAGACCTACCCTCAAAGGGATTCACCAGAGACAGAGTGGGGAACAAAACAGGCAGACTGACTTAAAAACATTGCTGATGGGGAAGCGGGTGAGACAGTAGAGGTCTGCTGCGCCATGTGGGTCATCTCCCTGGCCAGGGATCAAACTAGTGCTACAGTGGCTACAGAAAGGTTCATAGTGCTGTGCTTTAACCCCTTGTGCCACGAGGGATGGCCCCAAAGTATGTTATTTCTGAACAAAAGAAACAGCATAAACGAATAAAGAAAACATAAAACTACAAGGTATATTTGCTAGTCCACAATTCCACAAGTACAAGCCCATGTATGCTTTGCTAACTAGTATCTAGTCCAGTATTTGACATATAGCAATTTCTTAATTAGCACTTGTTAAAATAAATTCATGATCAAAATATCAAAGATACCCATCATTAGCTGAGAGAAAATTGAAGATCATTTTATAGACACTGGACAGTCCTTAGCTTTGGTAAGCAATTAAGTTAATGATAGACCTTTTCTTTTAAGATTCATTTATTTAAATGCATACAGAACTGGGGTACAGGCCAGAAATGCAGGGGTGGTGAGAGGATTCACCAGAAACAGAGTGGGGAGCAGAACAGACCAACTGACAAAGTACACTGCTGAGGGGAGCAGTGGGCGGGTCAGGAGAGGTCTGCAGCACCATGTGCGTCACCTCCGGGGCTGGGGATCAAACTCCTGCTGAAGTGGTTTTAGCTTCTTAGTGCTGTGCTTTAACCCGCTGCACCACCAGGGAAGGCCCTGATGATAGAACTTTTGTAAAGAAAAATGAGCAGGTAAAGAGAGGAAAGATACAATGTATATACTAGTTTTTATGTGGCACTGAATTTAGAAATCCAGTGATCATTAACATATAAATGTTTTTAAAATTGCATGAAAATTTAAGTTTATAACACAAGAAAGATACTGGGGCTAGAAATTGTGAGTTCCACTTCCATACATATATGATAGTTGATACCAGTCTAATAATGGATTTTCTTACATAAAGGAAAAAGCTAAAAATAGAATATTATTAGAACATAAAGTTTTTTAATAATTATATAGCATACCTCCACATACACATTACATATTTGTTGTCTGCAAAACCGCAGTTCCCAAACCTATCACTTTGAGAATGTACTTCTTCATAGCAGAAAAACGGAGCATTTTTTGAACCTGTTGAAATTAGAAATATATTTTAGTTAAAGCTCCATTTTATATCATAGTCTTTTGTTTCCTTAATCTATTCTGTTTTCTTTGCTTGCTTATTATAGAATTCAAAAGATTTCCTAGAAATCTTATACGAAAAATAATAAAAATAAAAGGCAATGTTCATATGGTTATTCCTCCCTTTGTTTTCATTCTCAGTCATTTCCATAATAAAACATAAAATAAGAAGAGGGGAGAGTTATAGAACTATAAACTAGGGAAGAGCTCTGTGGAAGAAGGAGATAGATAATGCAATAAAGATATACTAGTTCTAGATTCTGAGTGGGGACTCTTAATTGGCAAGTCCTTTAACAAAATCACAATGAATAAATGTCACTGGCTTTCCAGATGTCTTAAGTAAAATGATTAAAATTACCAACTCGCCTATCTACCTATGATTTTCCTTTGTTGTTATATTAATTTTTTATCACTGTGTGAAAATTATCAAAATCTTAGCCGCTCCTAATAAGTTCCGTAAGTTCCTAGTCACAAGGACATTTCACAGCATGGCGATTTATGTCACCCAAATCAGAAAGAGAATCTTTCTGACATTTCCCATTTTTAAGGGCTTACATGACTAGATCAAGTCCACTAAAAATGATCTCCTATATGATTAAAAGCTACTGACAATGGACCTTAATTACATTTTTTCAAAGCCTTTCATCTTTATTACATGAGTACATATTCCATCATATATTCACTGGCTTTGCCCCAACTCAGGTGGAGGAAATTATCTGAGGTGAGGTATAGAGGGTCTTGGGGGTGGGGGGTAAGGGGAGGAAGACGGGGTGGTTTCTTAGTATTCTCTATAATACAATTACTTTCTCCAAAATGAACCTCTCAATTACAAAACTACAATAGTCTCCCCTTATTTGTGGTTTAGGTTACCCATATAACTATACTGAAAATATTACAGTAAGATTTGGAGAAAGTGGGAGGATATAGTGGAAGAGTGGGAGAGATACCAGATTCATCTAACTTTTATTATGTTATACTTGATGTTTTATGATTATTGATTTTAATCTCTTACTATTCCTAATTTATAAATTAAACTATATCATGGGCATGTATGTATATGGAAAAACCTTATATACAGGGCTCAGTTTCAAGCATCTCCTGGAGCTCTTAGAATAGATTCCCCCCACATAATGGGCAATTACTTTAGATAATTATATATATGTACATATGTATGTATGTATCATGGATAGTTATGAAATTAAAATGACATTTATCATTCACTGCTTATTCCAATCTATCTCCCATTTTAAGATTGAGGGTTTTCCTGTTTACCTACCCCTTTCATGAATTGAATTTTTTCCCTCTATTTTTTATAATTCTTTCCTTCTCTTATTCTGTCTATTCACCATTTTTAAACATTTCTCCATAAAAGGTGATTTTATCGATACCATGAGAATACACAATGTTATTTCTGAGTATTCACAATGTTTAATAAGTTCAGTTATCAATCTGAACTACCAGGTTAAGAATGACACCACAGGACTCATTGAACACCAAAATGTTTTCAAGGAAAATGAGAAATTGGATAATTCAGTCCAGTTTGGAAAGCTAATATAAAGGAATATATATGCATAATTAAAGGGCAGACAAATAAATTCTGTTGAAAATTATTTTCTTCACCAGCCTAATTTTTATTAGTCTACCTATTGTATCTAAAGTTAGCTTGAATTTATTTCTCTTTGAATACCCCCTTCTCATTAGTGTTATTGTTATTAGATAATTCTGAGTTTTCCAGTGTGGTGTGAAAATGCTAGAAAGTCAAACTTTTTACAAAGGTGAAGTCACATGTCAAAGGTTCTCTTCAATTCAGTGTAACAGTCAAGTCTATTGAGTAAGAAAAATTTCCTTTTTATGTCCAAATAGTATATTTAGATTGTTTTATCCATTATAAAATGTTATAGAGCAGTAAAGTGGTAGGTACACTTTCCTAGATTGTTTACATGGCTAGTGTAAGGTGGGGGTAAGAAAATTATTGCAAATAATTTAGAAAACCCTCTTAAATAGCACTGAGCAAAAGAAAGTTATACTTTATCCTCCTTTGTCAATTATTGGAGATAACAGAAAGCCACTGTATATCAACTGGGAAAAAACACTTAAATGTTAACTAAAATTTTATCTTTCATAATCTGCCATCTTAACTCACAACCTAATGTGCATTTACAACTTAATATATTCTAAAACAAACTGTTTTCCTTATTTCAGTTTATAGAACTAACAGTAAAAGTTCAGCTCTTGATTTAGAAATTATCCTAGATTATTTCTTTACCCTCACTACCCTTCAATATCTAATCCTATTTTTACTGACTCTACATCCTAAAGACAGTTTGAATATGATCACTTTTTTTTTAAAGATTTATTTATTTATTCATATAGAACTGGGGTACAGGCCAGAGATGCGGAGGGTGAGAAGATTCACCAGAGAGAGAGTGGGGAGCAGAACAGGCAGATCGACGAAGTACACTGCTGAGGGGAGCAGCAGGCGGGTCAGGAGAGGTCTGCCATGCCATGTGGATCTCCTCCGGGACAGGCGGGAATCGAACTCATGCAGAAGTGGCTTTAGCTTCTTAGTGCTCTGCTTTAACCCTCTGTGCCACCAGGGAGGGCCCTGAATATGATCACTTTTAACCTTCTCCATGTTACCACTTCAACCTGAGCTATCAATTTCCCTCAATATGCTACAACTCCACTTACCACAGTATATTGTCCCTAAATCAGAATGATTTTTTTTAAAAAAAAATAGAAATCTTACTTTAGTCTCTTACTTAAGTATCTCTAATGGCTTCCCATTAAACTAAGAATAAAACCCAATTTTTTTTATCATGATTTCAACCATACTGTGCTTATTTTTATCCTTGAATGCACATAATTCATTCCTAATTAAGTATCATAACTTATGCCTCATTTCTGTTTGAAAACACTTTTGGTTCTTTAGTTCTCAGGGTTTGTTTGTTTGTTTTGTTTTGTTTCAATGAGGCCCAGGAAAATCCAGGCACTTTAAGACTTTTTTTTTTTTTAAAGATTTTATTTATTTGTGCATACAGAACTGGGGTACAGGCCAGAGGCGCAGGGGCGGTGAAAGGATTCACCGGTGTGGGGAGCAGAACAGGCAGATTGACAAAGTATGCTGCTGAGGGGAGCAGCGGGTGGGTCAGGAGAGGTCTGCCGCGTCATGTGGGTCACACCTCCAGGGCAAGCAGGGATTGAACTCATGCTGAAGTGGCTTTAGCTTCTTAGTGCTGTGCTTTAACCTGCTGCGCCACCAGGGAGGGACATAGTTCTCAGTTTTTTAATTTGGCTCGTTATATGTTGGAACACAAATTCTCAGTTTTTAAATTTCTATTCAAATTTCACTTCCACATGGAAACTGTCTCTGACTACCCTAGAGAAAGCACCCTGACCTTTATGATCACTGTTTGTCCAGCTACCCTGTTTAGTGCTTGTTGCTGACTTGTTTTCGGTTAACACTGACTTCTGCATGCACAAATAAATCTTTAAAACAAAAACAAATGCTGGCAAGGATGTGGAGAAAAGAAACTCTTGCATTGCTGGTAGGAATGCCAACTGATCCTACCACTGTGGAAAGCTGTGTGGAGTTACTAAATTACTAAAAATGTATCTATCGTATGACCCAGCCATGGCACCCCTAGAAATCTACCCAAAAGCATTAATCTACTACAAAAACAAAATTTGAAAGGAAACCTGCACTCCTACGTTTATACAGCCCTATTCACAGTAGTTAAGATATGGAAACAATCTAAAGGTCTAAAGACAGATGACTAGATGAAGATGTCTACAATGGATACTATTCAGCAATCAAAAAGTTAAAAAAAAAAAAAGAAGGCACACCATTTTGCAGCAACATGGATGGAGCTGGAGGGGATTAAGCTAAGTGAAATAAGTCATAAGGAAAAAGAAAAATATTGGATGAACTCACTTATAGGAGAAGTAAATAAGGAATTAGGGGAAAAGTAGACAAAAGCATCAGGCAACTATAAATCGGAGACATTCAGCAGGGGACAGGGAAGGAGAAGGAGTAAAACAGGAGTGGGAAGAACACAAGAGACTATGGGCACTATACTTGAGAGGAAAAAGTCAACTGTACAAAAAAATGGTTTAAAAAATATATATAAAATAAAAAATCAATCGTAATATTATAGCTCACTAAATTTGGAAAAACAGATATCAAAGAGAATAACATATAGAAATTTTTAGTTCTATGTATTAATATAAAATTGCCAATTGCCTTGGTAACATTAGTAAAAATACTAGAACTATTTAGATGTTACAGAATCATATACCTTTTCCAAATATTGACTCACAACGTGCATCAAGATCTTGGCAGTCTCCATCATAACACATGAATTTTCCTTTTTTGCATAAACGTCCATTATGTATAGTAATATCAGGTTCACATTGGGCTGAGGTTCCATTACAAAATTCAGAAATATCACATTCAGGATGCACTCTGTGCCTACATTCATATCCTGGACTTTGAAACTAACAGAAATTAAAATACAAAAAAAAAAAGGCATTATCCATACATAAAGAATGTTGTGCTTATCAATATTAATTTCAATATTCTCTTAAATTCAATTATAATTTGATCATCTATGTATTAAATAATGGCTATGATTAATTTCTTTATATAAAGCAATATGCTAGTTATTTTAAAAAGTTGAATACTATCAACCAAAACAGAAGATAAAACATATATGCAAAGAAAACTATGACACAAAAATGATGTGAGGAGAACCTCTCTGTTGGTGCAAGGGGTTAAGTGTTTGCGCTATGAAGCTCTCATCAGTCACGACAGTTTGATCTCTGTCCAGGGAGGTGACCCACATGGCGCAGCAGATCTCTCCTGTCTCACCCACTGCTCCCCTCAGCAGTGTATTTCAGTTCAATTTACCTGTTCTGCTCCCCATTCTGTCTCTGGTAATCCTCTCACTCCCCACACTCTGACCCTACACGCTGGCTTTTGCATGCATCAATAAATAACTTTTTAAAAAATGACATCAGAGCCCTCCCTGGTGGCACAATAGGTTAAAGTGCAGCACTGTGAATCTCCCTGCAGCTGCTTCAGTATGAGTTCCATCCCTGACCAGAGAGGTGACCCACATGGTGTGTCAGACCTCTCCTGACCTGCCTGCTGCTCCCCTCAGCAGTGGACTGCATCAATCTGCCTGTTCTGTTTCCCGCTCTGCCTTTGGTGAATCTTCTTACCAACCCTATACCTCTGGCCTGTACCCCACAGGGTATGTATAGATAAAATAAATCTTAAAAAAAGATGTGAGTTAAATGTCAAAGTTTTTTAGTGTTTCAGTGAAACAGAGGAAAAATCACTTTTAGCTTAGGATAATTATTATTTTTTGTGAAAAGAGTGTTACTAGACAAGTCCCAAATATATATATATACTTAATCAGTTTGCAATATTTGTTATGTTATGACAGATGTGAAAACATAAGTAACTGAGAATTAAAAGAGGATAACCAAAGGCTAAGTAAAGAAGCACTTCAACTGCTCAAGTCCTTACAGAAAAAGAACTCAGTTGTAACCTCTTTCCTGAATATTCTAATTCAGTAATACATATATACAATTCTGAAAATTTGTAAAAAGAATATTATATGGGCTCTCACACTACTTAACTGATGACTTCTAGTTGGCACTAAAATCAAATTATGACAGTGAGAGGAGCCATTCAGATAGCTTTTAGTCGAATGACATCTGCATAGTAAGTTAATAGTTTGAATTTTTAACTAATACTGTAGGATTTGGGAAGTTTTATTTCTAGTGAGTTTCATTATCCCACTTAGGGACACCTTTTTATTTATAAAAATATAAATACTGGATAGTGTGGGGAAAAGTATCTTTTAATAGGAATCATCAACATTGAAGAAATCTGTAATTGTTCTCATACAGGGCTTAAAAATGACAGCAACAAGTTAGGGTAGATAATGGCATTAGAAGGAGACCCTGTGACCCAAATAAAGTTCATAAAATCAGAAACCTGATTCTGAGTCTAGTAAGATTTTTATTTGAATGTTTATTAATTCTGACTCGCAAATACAGGTCTTAGAGTTCTAAAGAATCCCTGACATAATTTGAAAGGTATTAAAAACTTAAATCATACTTTACAGTCCTTCTTGCAACACCGTCCTTTATCACACTGTGCTCCAGGTCTCAGCTGACAAGTCAGAGGGTCGCAACAGACATTACCTGCACATTGCTATAATGAGGGATGCACAAGTAAAAATAAATCATGACAATAATATCAACCTTAGAAACAGTTATATTAACTGGGCATTTTTAGTTTTGTGGAAGAAAAAAGTCATGCATACTGTTGACATTTGTGGATTTTTGCATCTCTAAGCAATTAAAATACCAAGGCAGGAATTTTACTTCAGGTCAAAACAGAACAACTGGCACCCCACCAATTCTCTATTCAATTAGAACACTGGGCAAAAAATATGAAACAACTATTTCCAGAAATTAGATAATACTGACAGAGCAGAATGATGGCTCCCAAAGCCTTGAGAATGGGAAGGAAAATGATTTATTTATTTATGGGTACAAAGTTTTACCTAGAAAATGAAATACTTCTCAGGATATAATGTATAATATACTGACTATAGGTTAAGACCATTGTCTTTGTAATACCAAAAGTTTTCCAAGAGGACAGATGTTTTCTCACAAGACATACCAAAATAATAATTGTAACTATGTCAGATAATGGGTATGTTCATACAAATATCAAAAATTTCAAGTTCTACATTGTAAATATATACAGCTTTTATTTATAACCAATACCCAAATAAAAAAAAAACTTGGAGGGGCTGGGTAGAGGGAAGTGTGTGCAGAGTTGAAGCAAGTTAGAGGAAACAGTCTCCAAGACTGCCTTGACTTAATACACCAGTCACAAGCTTAGCAGACCCCAAAGTATAATCCCAGATTTGCTAATTTAATGGAAACACTCACAAACTCACTGAGAGTTATTATACTACTTACAATAATAACTAATTATAGGTAGAGGATACAAACTAAAATCAGTCTAAGGAAGAAGCACTAAGGACAGTATCCAGGAGCAGCACTAAACATGGAATTTCAATTGCCTTCACCCACTGGAACCACCGACACATTATCTTCCTAGCATTGATAGATGACACATCCTAGTTCATTCTATGAAGCCATTATTACTCTAACAGCACAATCAGAAAAAGACATTACAATAAAGAAAAATTTATGAGACTAATACCACTCATAAATACAGGTAACAAAATTCTTAATGAAAAATTAGGAACTCACATTCAACAATGTTAAAAAGAATATTATACCACAGCCAAATGAGATGTATCCCCAGAATGCAAGGCTAGTTCATCACACAAACATCAATTAATGTAACCAATGGTGTCACCAGGAGAGTAAGAAAAATGATGAGACTGTAACAATTGATGTAGTAAAAGTATTTGAGGGACTCCTTGGTGGTACCAGGGGTTAAGTCTCAGCAGTATGAAGCCAGAAAGGGAGCTGACCCACATGGTGCAGCAGACCCTTCCTGTCTTGCTGCTGTTCCCTTCAATAGTGTATGTCAGTCAATCTGCCTGTTCTGCCCCCTACCCTGCTCTCCTCACCCTCCCCCCACACCTCTAGCCTACACACCAGCTCCTGTATGTAAAAAATAAACAAGTCTAAAGAAAAAGCATTTGACAAATTCTTAGTACTCTGTTATTAAATAAAATGCTAACAAATTGATTGATAAATTCAATGCAATTCCAATCAAAATTCCAGCAAGCTGTTTTGTGAATATTGACACACTGGTTCTAAAGTCTGTATAAGAGGCAAAAGACCCAGAATGGTCAGCATAATACTGAAAAAAACAAGGGAGAGATGATTAGGGGATAGTGTGCCTAGATTAGGAGATTCAAAATTGGTAATCATTCTCCCAAAATTGATATATAGATATAGCAAAATTCTTAGATTCACATACTATTCTCCAATTCATATGAGAATGCAAAGGCCCTAGAATGTCAAGAGTATCTTGAAAAAGAAGAACAAAGTTCAGAGTGTTTTCAACACTTATTATAAATGTACATTAATTAAGACAGTGTGGAATTAGCATAAGGAAAGACGTATAAATAAAAGACCCAGGAATAGATATATACCTATGGCAATTTCTTTCCATAGGATGCTATGATAAAGCAATGATGAAAAGATGGCCACTCTTACAAATATTGCTAGAAAAAAATTGATATTCATATGGAGGTTAATAAACCTTTAATAAATCTCTCACCATACACAAAAGCACACTCAAACTAGAGTGGAAGTTGTAATTGTATAACTTCTAGTAAAAAACATAAATGTAAATATTCATGAGCTTGGACACAAAGAATGTAACCAGAGAAGAAAAAATGATTAAAATATATATCTCCTACTCAAAAATGTTAATGAAACTGAAAAGACAATCGATATGTTGGAAACAAATATTTGTAATAAACATATATAAGAAAGAAAGGATGGGTCCTCCCTGGTGGTGCAGCGGGTTAAAGCACTGCATTAAGAAGCTTAAGCCACTTCCTCATGAGTTCGATTCCCGCCTGCCCCGGAGGAGATCCACATGGCCAGGCAGACCTCTCCTGACCCGCCCGCTGCTACCCTCAGCAGTGTAATTTCAGTCATTCTGCCTGTTCTGCTCCCCACTCTGTCTCTGGTGAATCCTCTCACCCTTCGCATCTATGGCCTGTACCCCAGTTCTGTATGAATAAATAAATATTTTTAAAAAAAAGAAAGGAAGGATACCCAACCTATAAAAACATCTTATAAGTAGTAACAAACAAGCAAATTTTAAAAATTGGCAATAGATTATTCAAGCAATAAATAGCCAATAAGGACATGAGAATGTGTTCAAAGTTGTTACAGTTACCAGAAAATGCAAATCCAAATCAATGTAATGCCTCACATTTAAAGGATTGACAGTATCAAATTCTGGAAAGGAGATGGAGGATATAAAAAGTTTTATATGTTAATGAAAGGAGTGTAAAATCATACAACCACTTAGGATAAAGTTTGTTAGAAACATAGACTTATCACATGACCCAGAAATTCTTCTTTTAGGGATTCAGAATAATGACCCAACACTGCTGACAACCCAAATGTCCACTAGGGGAATGGAAACAGATTTGGTATATACAAACAAGTAAATACTATGGGTGGGGGGAGGGGAGAGAAACACTGTGGCATAAAACAATTACATTTTCCAGAGCTACCCTGTAAAGGAAATCACCTAAAAGACCTAATTTCAGACTAATACTAACAGTTTTCTCTCACCATACTACTGATTCCAGTGAGGTGTTGCTATATAAACACTACTCGGTGGTCTGCCAAAACACTGATCTTCAATAAGTCATTCATAAGGTTAAGCACAGTTTTGGAAATTGTGAACTCCTCTTTTTTCGCATCAGGAATCTTATCTTGGAGCACATTTTTTATTTACTTTAAAAGCCCAAACTGGCCCTCCCTGGTGGCACAGCGGGTTAAAGCACAGCACTAAGAAGCTTAAGCCACTTCCGCATGAGTTCAATCCCCGCCTGCCCCGGAGGTGACCACATGGCGTGGCAGACCTCTCCTGACCCGCCCGCTGCTCCCCTCAGCAGTGTACGTGGTGGATCTGTCTGTTCTGCTCCCCTCTCTGTCTCTGGTGAATCCTCTCACCCTCTGCATCTCTGGCCTGTACCCCAGTTCTATATGCATAAATAAATAAATCTTTAAAAAAAAAAAAAAAAGCCCAAACTATATTGGCCCTCCCTGCTGGCGCAGCGGGTTAAAGCACAGCACTAAGAAGCTTAAGCTACTTCCACATGAGTTCGATCCCCGCCAGCCCCAGAGGTGACCACATGGCGTGGCAGACCTCTCCTGACCCGCCCGCTGCTCCCCTCAGCAGTGTACTTCGTCGATCTGCCTGTTCTGCTCTCCACTCTGTCTCTGGTGAATCCTCTCACACTCCGCATCTCTGGCCTGTACCCCAGTTCTGTATGAATGAATAAATAAATCTTAAAAAAAAAAAGCCCAAACTATAAAATTTGACAGCATAGTCATACATGTATTTGAATTTGATTTCACTTACTACCGATATTCTAAATGGTACCCAGTCATCTTTGAGATTTGTAACACTAGAGAAAAGAGATTAACCAAATCAGCATGTACTGCTCAATTCCAGTTAACAAACTTACTTGAATGGTGCCACAGTCACAGGTTTCTTGGCCCTCCACTTTGCCATTGCCACAGGTGTACTGCTTAGCACTTTGCATTTGTGGCTTATTCTGCAGACATTTGGCTCCCATATTTGAAAGGAAATTTTCAAAGTCTCTCAAACTGCAACTGCTAAACATCTTCACACCACTGAATTGCCTAAACATGAATCCATGTAATGTCATTAGCAGAATACTTCTACAAGCACAGTTCTTTGTGAAACAAACTAATTTCAAAATGTTAAATGTTTAAAAATAAATGTTTACAAACCAAAATACTCTTGAAAGGGCATGTGTTTTTACTCACTGGGATATATGTCCTTATTAAATCAAAATTTAGTACAACTCACTATCAAAAATTAAACAATCCAATTAGAATATAAAGACTTGAATAGACACTTCTCCAAAAAGTTATAAAACGCCTTCAAGCATATAAAAAGGTGTTTCATATCACTGACAATTACAAATCAAAACTCAATGAGCTATTTCCTCATGTTGAGACAGTCATTATACAAAAAGTTACCTGTTGACTAAAATATAGAGATATCGGTACTCTAATGTACTGTTGATGGAAATATAAATTGGACAACAGTAAGGTGATTCCCCAGAAAATTTAAAATAACCCAGTAATTCTACTTCTGGATACAGATTTTAATCTCAGAATCTGTATTCCCATGTTCACTATAGCTTTATTCATAGTAGCAAAGATATGGAAGCAAATTATATGTCTATTGATTATTTAAATAAAGAAAATGTGGAATGTATGTGCAATGGAATATTGTTTTGACTTAAAAAAAAAAAAGGAAATTCTTCCATATGCAACATCATGGATGAACTTCAAGGTTATAATCATGCTAAGTGAAATAAGCCAGTAACAAAAAGATGCATACTTCCTGATTTCATTTACATAAGATACGATATTATCTAGAACAGTCAAATTTAAAAGTGCAGACAGTAGAATGGTAATTGCAGAAGCTAGGGGAAAGTGGAGTTGCTCAATGAAAGAATGGAGCTTCACTTAGGCAAGATAAATAAATCCTAAAGATTCACTATGCAACAGAGTCACTTATAGTTAATAGTAAAGTATCATATATTTCAAAAGGATCAAGTATCACAGCAAAAAATAATTAAGAACATATCAATTTTAATTTTACATGCATTACAAATTATATCAACCAAAGAGAAAAGTTTTGGTGTGCATGATTGCCTGCAAATTGTGGCTCACAGAAAAAAAATAGTATATGATACAACATAGAGCCTTGAGGTGTTTTCTCTCCTCATCAGGACTGAGACCTAGTCTTTGAGCCACAGCCTCCCTTCACTCCCCTACCTGTCACCAAGATGAAAAGAGAAAAGAAACAAACAAAAACTAAGTCCTTAGCACCCCCACTACAAAAAAAAACAAGTAAGACGACAAACATCTAGGAAGTAAGGAACATTGGAACACAAGATGGAAAGCCAGAAGGAGACTGGTACTCACAGAGGTATACAGAAATACAGAAATGGACAAATAACTTAGAAGCACAATTTTTAAAATGCTAATAAAGTGCTGGAAAGACACACAAACATAGAGAGACGTAAAGGATCTCAGAAAGGTGATCCAGGGAAACAAAGCTTTTCACTCAAGAGATTGAAGATATTAAAAGAAATGCTAATAAAGTAAGGATGATAATGGAGTGTGGTTTAAATAGAATTGAACTGGTAGAAGAGAGAATGTTTGAAAAGACATAAATGAACAAATCACTCAAATGAGAAAAGAGAAAAAAATTAGTAAAAACGAAGATACCCTATATGAAAGATCAGACTCAATTATAAGAGGAAATATAAAGATAATGTATTGGAGAAAAAGAGGAGAGGAGGGGAAAGAGAAACTGTTCTAAGGAGTAGTAGTCAAGATCTTCATGAACTGAAGTAAAGAATAATATGAAATGTCCTGAAAGAAAACCTAACATCTAAATGTAAAATGACTGTTATATGGATACATCATGTTAAATTATCAAAGGTCAAATATAAAGAAAAAATATTAAAGCATGCTTAGGGGTGGGCAGGGTGGCTACATACAATGGTACCCTGATCAAGCTCTCATCACATGTCTCAAAAGGTACACTCAGGCCAGAACATAGAATGATGTGTTCACAGTCCTAAAAGACAAACACGCCTAATCAGAATCTACCATCTTGCAAAATTATGATTAAATATGAAGGTGAAATAAAGACTTTGCAAAGGAGGAAAAACAAGGGTCGCAGTTGACACATGGAGGGATGAATACAAGGGAGCGACTATGCCATGATGCACAGGTGATACGCTGGTGGGAGAACTATGGGACCACAACACAGGGGGGAATTCAAGACACTGTGAAATATTTTGTTCCATTTATAGCTACTCAGTACTATCAGTAAATACTAAGTAGTCACACTTCAAACAGTTAAAAAGAAAGTCAATCAACCAATAAATAAATCTTATTTTTTAAAGACTTACATAGCTTCTGGGTTCATTATGCAAACGACTCCTGGACACTGACATTTCTTTGGATCATCGTATGATATTCCAAGACTGAGTCCCAGCATTTGGGTGACAATAACTGAAAATGCCTCTAAAGTTATCTTCTTGGAATACTACATCAACAACAAAGAAAATTCAGGTGATGGTGATTCATTGAAAGGTGGGGGAAAAATGTTTTTATAATTGTATTTTTTATTTTAATGTTAAAATAAACACAGTTCCTTAGAAAACTGAGAATTTTTTCCTAGGAAATCTTTCGAGATAAAAGCATAATGAATCGATGCCTAGCTTTGCCCCACTTTAACAACAGCATGCATAGCATAATTTCCAAGCAGCTACCACATGTGCATAAAAGGGCCGTCTTTGCACTCAATTTTTTGGCTATATGGCTCATGACCTTAAATTTATGTCACGTCTTATTATAGCTCTCATATTCTTTTAGGAGTCTACATGATACCCTGGCCTCCCCAGCCCACAAACTGATCATATAACTAAATAATTCCGTTTAAGTTTGCTATTGGCTCCTACAAGATTTTGACACAGTAACTTATATTAGAAGTCACAGAAGACATCACCAACATGGTGGCAAAGGGACATCAGAATTAAATTCTCCCGTGAAAGCATATGATGGAAGAAATACCATCAGGAACCAGGTGTGTGGGACAGGACCCAGGTGTGTGGGATAAAGTTGGAGACAACTGGTGATCAGTGCAGAAGCAGGAGGAGCTTGGCACTACAGGGGAAGGGAGGAGAGAAAATCAATCTGGAATCCTTCTCCCCTGCCCTATCCACAGGGCCAGCCAACTTCGCCCAGCAGAAAAGGAAAAGAAGAGGTTTGGAGGCCAATGGAGAATCCTGAGACATTCCAGAACTCCGGAAAGTGACAGGAAGGCAGTCAGGGGGCAGGACTATGAGTCTTTCCCTCCCCTCACCTCCCCTCTGTTTCCAGAGACTAGCAGGAAGAACTAGCAGTTCTGAGGGCTTACTAGGAGACGTCTCTGGGGCTGCCTAGTGATCAAACTAAATCACCAAGCACCTGCACTGGAAACCCAGAGGCTGTAGCTGAGGTTATTCCAGGAAGGACATACCATTAGCCAGTTGCACCTACCAGCGGGGAGGGCATCAGCTGGAGCTTCATAGGGCTGGTCCCTATACTAGGGGCCATGAGATACCCCAAGGCTACAGGTAGAAACTCAGAAGCCCCTACACTTGCCCCCAGTCACCCAGAATTGTCATGGTTCCGCACCCACATCTGTGGTGGACACTGTAGAGTGTTGGATACTCCACAGTACACACCTTGTATTTCACTGCTCATTCTTTATCCTCCCTCAATATACGACAAGGGGGACAGTGGACCCCGGGAAGAACTATCCCACACAGCCCTGCAGCCCTCCCGAGCCAACCAGACTAAAAAAGCAATGACTAGCTCACCAGGAGCCATCAGGGCCGGAGAGGCACTTCTCCCCTAACCAGTGTGTTTTGGTTGGTCATATGGTTCTCTATTAAGCCTCTCCTTTGCTACCTGTTTTCTGTTTCCTCTAGTTTTTCTCCTTTCTTCCCTCTACCACTATTGCTACTATTTTTCTTCTCTATTGCATCTCCTCTTCTTCCTCATCCTCTTTCCTCTTCACCCTACCTTGCCCCCTATGTCTATTCCCCCACCTTCATTCCTTTTATGGTTTTAGGCTTTACATTCAGGCCTTTTATCCATCTTGAGTTGGTTTTCATGCATGGTGTGAAACAGTAGTCTAGCTTCATTCTTCTACATGTAGCAGCCCAGTTTTCCCAGCACCATCGACTGAACATTGTCCTTGTTCTACTGCATATTCTTTGCCCCTTTGTTAAAGATCACTTGTCCGCTGACTGGATCAAGATGTGGTATATAGAGACAATGGAATACCATTCAGCAACCAAAAAGTAAACTAGTGCCATTCACCAGCAATATGGATAGAGCTAGGGAGGATCATACTTCATAAAATAACCCAGAAGGAAAAATAAAAATATTGAATGGTTTCACTTATAGGCAGAATTAGAGGAACCAAATAAGGGATCAGGAAAAAATAACAATAACAGTAACACAACAAAATTAGAGAACAACCATAAATCAGACATTCTGTGACATAGGAAGGAAAAGGAATCAAAACAGGGGAGAGGAGAGCACAAAGGACTATCATGATGGTTCATGGGTGAATCAGTGATGGAAATTTTATGGGGAACACACAATGATATAAAAAATATATGCATAAATAAAATATATTTTTTTAAAGGCACAGAAAATGGGCTCTCAAGAAAGCACTAGCTTAGACTACTGACATATTTAACAAGTACACAGATGACATCCCAATCAAAGAGAATTGAGAGACTGGTAATCCATTATATGTAATGATATCATGATTTCTCAAATTTTCCCAAATTTGAAATAGAAACGATAGAGGAGGAGAACAATTTGTCAGGCAGATTCAAGACACCTTGTTGCTATGATGGTAAACTATAATAAACTATAATCAACTGCTCTGATAGCATGAAGATGGACATTATAAAGAAAAGAAAACCTGAATGAGCAACTAAGAATACAAATACACAAGCATCACTATAATAACTTGGAAAAAATAAAAATCAAATAAAAGTAAACAAAAATATAATAAAAGCAAAAGTTTTATTTAAATGATAATATATTATGTGAGCACATATTTAAAGTGTAATAATATATGAGGTAATAATATAAAGTATGTCATGCAGTGATATATAATGTGTTTTAAGGATATAAAAATATAAAAAACAATAAATACATATGACAAATAGATTAGGCTAAATATGTCAAAAAACAATATTACCCATATTGTCTTAAGTTTATAAATCAAAATAGGCATACAAATATATATATATATATTTTAAATAATTTAACTACCAGAAGAATGGAACTGAAATTATAAATTTTAGAACAGGAGTACATGAAAGAGATAAAGGAGAAGGTATTGCTACCAATTTTTGGTTTTTATATCTATAATTGAAATTGTTTTCCCATGTACACCCATAAATTATATAATAAAAGATAATTTAGGGTACACAAAATACTATTTTTATAAAAATATATTAAGAAGGGCCACAGTTACAGATAGAAACAAAGTATAAGATGCCTATCAATCAAAATACTAATAGTAGTTATTCCTTCCTTCACTGGAAGATTATATGAATTACCCTGCATGTACCTTGAAAAGCTGGTATGAATAATAAGTTACTTTGTAATTGATATGTAATTAACCTTTTTTTTTTTAATAATGAATGGGGTGGCTCAATGAATTACGAAACCTTTCAATGGTTCATCTAATTGTGCCAATATTTTATTTACAGAAATAATATTTATAAATAACACAAGGTATTTAAAACTGGCATAAACTTTTCTATTAAATAGTGCACTTTAGGGGCCCTTCCTGGTGGCGCACCAGGAAGGTTGAAGTCCAGCAGACCAGGCCATCCAGACGCAGTCTTCAGTGAGAGTTTGATCCCCGCGCTGGAGGTGACCCACCTGGCTCGGCAGACCACTCCTGACCCGCCTGCTGCTTCCCTCAGCAGTGTACTTTGTCAGTCTGCTCTCTCTCCACGCTGCTCCCACTCTGTTCCCCACTGCTCCCCACTCTGTCTCTGGTGAATCCTCTCACTTTTCTTGCACCTCTGGCCTGCACCCCAGTTCTATATGCATAAATAAGTAAGTCTTAATTCATTTCTTTATATTTTTAAGCTATTTTATCAGCAAGACCATTTCTTCAATTTTATATCTACAAGCAAAAGTCTATTTGGGTTATAGAAATTTCTTTACAGATCATTTTCACCATGTACTAATCTATACATTAAGAAATGATTGAGCATTTGTGATTTTTATCCAGTCTAACTTACAAATAATGCAAAAATTATTCTGTAAACTACTCTTCCTTCTATACACTTCAAAGAGAAAATAAATATAAATATAGGTATGAACCATATAAAATACATGTTACAAAATTGAGTAATTTTTTTAAAAGATTTATTTATCTATGCATACAGAACTGGTGGTGAGAGGATTCACCAGAGACAGAGTGCAGTGAGAACAGGCAGATCAAGGTAGCACACTGCTGAGGGGAGCAGTTGGCAGGTCAGGAGAGGTCTGCCACGCCACGTGGGTCACCTCAGGAGCAGAAATCCAACTTCTGCTGAAGTGGCTTTAGCTTCTAAGTGGTGTGCTTTAACCCCCTGCGCCATCAAGGAGGGCCCCTGAAATTGAGTAATTTTAAAATGTATCATTTTTAATAGTAAAATTAACTAGTTACATACCAAAACAATTCCTGCAGAATGTTGGGTAACACACATCTTTCCAGGAAATGTTGCTCCCACATAATCTGGATATTCCCTATAGCTAAATAAATAAGTGGACATTTATAATTAATTTTAACAATTTAAATGTGGAAGGTTTCTGCTGAAAGTTATAGTTCATAAAAACAGAATATAATTTTTCCATGTGCCCTTAATTGTGCTGAAGTTGGAAAATAACTCTTAATTAGATTAAGCACTCCAGATTACTAAAATATATCCAGTGGGCCCAAGATTTTGATGGCTTTATTGTTCTTATCACATTTGGTTAGATTTACCAAGTGTTTGATCAAGTATTTTGATCAAGAGCATTTTAACATGTGACAATGCATAGATTAAAATTTATAGAAAAAACAGCTTCATATAAGAATTTCATTGTTGTGCTACAACTTAACATTTCTGCTTTGAACAAGACAGCAATTAAGTCGGATACAAATTGCTGTATAATAGTAGCACTATTCTAAGAGTTGGACAAGCTATTCAATTTAAACTTCAATTAAAGTCAGTGAAATATATATTATTGTTATCCTATTAAACAAATATCAGCTAGAATTAAATTTCTCAACAGTGCAATTAAGGATGGAAGGATTTTCACTTGAGCAGTTTGGATTCAAAACCATACTCTCAACTACACAATATATGCTTCAAACATATTCTGCTACTATAAAGCCCTGCCCAAAAATGTGTCCCAGATGTAGTGGTGCTCAGTTCTAAATTTGAAATGCCTGGGTTGGTCTCAACTGCATTTGAATTCACAGCTGCACTATCTCCCTGTTGTTATCTTTAGTTTGTCTCTCTGACATCATTGATACCTAAGCCCTCCAGTACATTTCCAAGTGTTTACTCTTAATGCCCAACTTTGGTTTTAAGTTCCAATATCTAAATGTTTTCAGTCTTTCTTCATCGAAGGTAGTTCTCCCAAAAAATATCTTAAGGAATCCTTCTCTTTACAAGTTTTCAGACTTCCCCCGAGATGCAACATATACTTTTGATTACCTGGACTCAAAAGTTATTATTTACTTAATACTAATCACCCAGTCTCTAAATCAAATCAGTTGTGAAGATCTACTATCAAGGTCTACTGTCTAGAATTTATCTAAAGACAAATTTCCTTGTACATATTGTATGAGATACACATAACACAGAATATATTCACATGAATGAAATGAGAAACCTACATTTTTAGGGGAAAAGAAAGAATACAATTATAAAATTAAAGAATTTAGGTAAAAATCCCATGATGTTATATCAGTTAAACTAATTAGAATTATCTGTATAAATTCATAATTTAAATCTTTTCCATTTTAAAAATGAATGTGTATGGCCCTCCCTGGTGGCGCAGCGGGTTAAAGCACAGCACTGAGAATCTAAGACGGCTTCCGCATGAGTTCGACTCCCGCCTGCCCTCCCTGGTGGCGCAGCGGGTTAAAGCACAGCACTGAGAATCTAAGACGGCTTCCGCATGAGTTCGACTCCCGCCTGCCCCGGAGGTGACCACATGGCGTGGCAGACCTCTCCTTACCCGCCCACTGCTCCCCTTAGCAGTGTATTTCTGT